AAAATTCATTTCATACTATGTTTTGTCGTTTAAGGTTTGAAGCCCCTAGCATTATCAATAGCTGTCGAAAGCCAATTCAGTCGTAGGAGTAGATAAAACTAGAATAGGTAATTTCATATAATCGCTGATAAGTTAACGACAACATTTTCTTGAACAATGTGACTTGAATCCAAAATTTGCAATTACTAAAAGTAAGACTTAGTCATGAAAACTATTGCACGAGCCCCAGCTCGGATCTTATATAAATCCTCATCCCTCTTGCTTCGGTTGTTTCATTAAAAAAGGAGTGATGAGGCCATCGGTTAAGGCGTGAGACGAAGTCAGAGACGCTTTCAGTATACTCAGAGCCTACGCCAAAAAGCAAAACGAATTGATTATCAGTATAAATCAGGATAAAGAGCATATTCACAATCAAATGTGACTCGTACTAACCTCTTCCAAACCAACAACCAACTCGAGTTCCTCAACTTCGGATAATGGGATTTTGAGGCTATTGAGAATCGAAAGGCCAGAGGTGGAAGACAAGGGAGTCGCAGTCAAATCGTCGGTCACCATAAACATAGTTTGTCGTTTAACATAATTTTCCTGCCATGCTAGGAAATGAGACTTCTGATGGGTGTTAGTAGAGCAGGCCCTTTGGTTTTCCGGAAACTTATAAACGTTCACCCAATCGCCATAGTCACCTGATGAGTTCACCAACGGCAAAGGTGACAGACAGCCTATATCTTCATGAAAATACAAAGAAGGGCATTGTGTGTCAGTCCGTGAGATAAAGTAGTTTCTCGAGCAGTAACAGAATGGTAACTTTGGCTTGAGTAGCTGGGGTTTGTCTTCCAATTGGTTCTTCAAATACTTTCCAGCGCTCTCATTCTCTATGCTTTTGTACAAATTATCTATGTTTATAAGACAAGTATCACAGTGCAGTAGACACTCAACCCTTCCCAAGGGGAGAGCCAACAGGCTAAATAGGAAATCCACAAAACTAGCATCAACTTCAGCAAATAATAGCTTATTAGCTGATACAATGGCTTTCACGGTCATTTTCATATCATTGAAAGGTTCCATCTGTTGTTTCTTGATCAGATCAACTGGTAGGACACCTATCACGCAATTCATCGCAGCATGGTTCATCGGGTTTTTATCGAGAATAAGTTCCGTTAATGGTTCCCGGGAGACTAATGACACCTTCAGCAAATCCATTATCTAAGGAAAAAAAATTGGGAAAAAGTGAAGGACTCATAAATTTGGTACTATTATCTAAAGAGATAGAAGTTAGTCACTCACCTCATTGAATCCCCAAGTTAGACTCCTTTCCTCGAAACCTGACTGTATCCGTCATGCCTAAGTTACGGATAATTTGCATTGCAGAACTAATCACACTAGGCAATACTTGAAGATCATCTGTTATGATTAAGGATGCTTTACTTGCAATATACACACCGCCGCTACTATCATCCACACCACTCATGAAAATTTTATTGTCCAACGGTTTCCCGCAATCACATTTCAATCCGCTGAAGTACATGCTTACATTCCGAAATTTAATAAAACTACAATTTATGTCTCCACATTTGAAGTACCTTGTGGGCGGCGTGTCGTCAACGTTGATTTTCAGCCGACGACATTCAACCTCAGATGACCTAATCGGGTTGAGCAGCAGGTTCTTACAGTCCTCTGACGAGAAAAAGCCATTGTCCAAATTGATTAAGCCGTTGTACAAAGTGGTTAAGCTTCCTACAATAGGGGCCTCATCACCATAGTGTTTGTTCAAGACTCGGACGATAGTCCCCAATGGCAAAGTCAGGAAGCTCAACAAAACATCTACGAAATCGCTATCTGCCTCCACATAAAGAACTTTAGTCTTTTGCTTGTTTATAATGGCTTTCAAGGTGAACTTGAAATCTTTGGGGTTGGACATTCTGTAGGCAAGTTTGTATACAATTTTGAAAAAGTAAAAAGAAAAGGATTGATGACTACCAATATCAAGATTATGCTGTTGGTCTCTCATTTTTATAAGCACAAAAATAACCCAAAAGTCACTTTCACTAATTTTCATTAGACCTTGACCTTCCATGTCCTTGTAATGAACCTAGACTGAATTCCTTTGTTTTTGCCATTTATGTCCCCTGGGTTTCTAATTTTCTTTCCAACTTCTAGAGATGATCTCTCTCTCTTTCTCTCTCTCTCATCCAAGAGTCACTTTCACTTATTTTCATTGGACATTGACCTTCCATGTCCTACTAATGAATCTAGACTGAATTCCTCTGTTTTGGCCATTGATGTCCCCTGGGTTTCTAATTTTCTTTCAAACTTCTCTCTCTCTCTCTCTCTCTCTCTCTCTCTTACTCTTATCCGAACATCTTATTTTCTTCTTTTACTGGGTTCTCTGTAAAGTGGTCTCTGTTCAGTTCACTTAAATCTATGGATGGTATGTGCAGAAGAGCCGTAAAAACTGGTCGTCTAACTAAGAATATGGGAACTCAATGTCTTTGAGTTAATGATGTTGTACAAAATTAGCACCGGGCTTCATGTTTTCCGAAAACTAACATCAAATTTTATTTCTAGTATTGGACACAAGTTATAAATAACGTAGCCTTGTTGTTGTATATGTACAGAGCACAAGAACCATACTTTTTTAATTTTTTTGTTGGAATTAAGAGCAGCAAGTTAATCTGTTCATACCAGACGAACAGACTTAATCTAAAGGACCTAAGAGCACACAAACAGACTTGATCTAGAGTATGTGCAAACAGAATACAATCTAATATTCTTCCAGAACTCAGAAAAAAAGAAACGGCCATAAAATCTGACATTTGAAAATGGATTCATTCGAAAAACATTTCACAATTTGTAATCCATATTTAATCAGTTTCAAAATTTATCATTCCATACTATGTGTCATTTAAGGTGAAAGCCACTAGCGTTACTGATAGGTGTCAATACTCAGGTCAGTCATAGTAACATAATGTTAACTTAGCCTATCTTTCTCTTTTTCTTTGCATTTAGCTTTCCTTATCAGATTAGGGCCCCCGAGAGATCCTACTTAAATAATGGCAGGGAAAGCAAATAAAGGATATAAAAGACATTGGGCTAATCAAATAAAGGATATAAAACAGAAATTCACACCATTTCCAAGCCTACCACTCTATGAAACCTACTGAGAACAATTAATTCAGCCACCTACACCATTAGTTCAATCTATAATTACTTCAGAACATGCTTTTAAAATCATCAATCTAAAGGTTGTTCTAAAGATCAGCAGTAGAATATCTAATGCAGGATATGATTAGATGCTTGAAATGAAACAGCCCAACAGCCATAAGTCTGATTTAATAATCCTAACATAACTACATTTGTCCACATAACTGATCTCATTTGTGACGTCATCTTCGGGTCATATGAAGTCATTCTCAAAGAGTGCAATACTCATCATTATTATAACCAACATCTTGATTTCTACACATCACTTTTGATTCAGTTTTGTTTTGAATATGATTAGGCTCAACAGACCTTGTAAATGCCACATAATACTATCTAATATTTGAGCTCTGAGAAAGGAAGCTGCCAACAAATCTGTCATTTGAAAATGGCTGCAGTAAAGAAACTTTTTACAATCTGCATTCTATATTTAATCATCTTCAAAATTCGTCATTACATACTATGTGTCGTCATTTAAGATTCAAAGCCACTAGCATTATCGATAGCAATTGAAGCCCAGTTCAGTCATAGGAGTAGATAACATTAAAATAGGTAATTTCATATATTAGCTGATAAGTTAACGACAATGTTTCTTGAAAATTGTTACATAAAACCGCAATATAAAATTCCAAGAAAGTAAGACTTAGTCATGAAAACTATTGCACGAGCTGGGGCTCGGATCTAATATAAATCCTCATCCCTCTTGCTTCGGTTGTTTCATTAAAAAAGGAGTGATGAGGCCATCGGTTAAGGCGCAAGACGAAGTCAGAGACGCTTTCAGTATGCTCAGAGCCTGCACCAGAAAGCAAAACGAATTGATTATCAGGATAAAAGGCCAAAAAAGCATATTCATAGTCAAATGTTGGTTATTTTCCCAAACCTCTTCTAGGCCAACAACCAGCTCGAGTTCTTCGACATTAGATAATGGGATTTTGAGGTTATTGAGAACAGAAAGTCCAGTGGCTGAAGACAATGGCGTCACAGTTAAATCATCGGTCACCATATATATAGTTTGTCCTTTTACATATTTCGCCTGCCAATATTTAAGCACCCATAGGCAGGTCAACCTACTGTACTCCACTTCTCCTTCTGGAAATTTATAACATTTCACCTGAGAACCACAACCAGATGGGTTCACAGAGTGCATACTATCTTGACTAAAATACAAACAATGGAAAGTCGGTGAGAGAAAGCGTGTTCTTGAGTAGTAGCATAATGGTAACATAGGATGCAGTAGCTGGGCTTTCGTTTTGTCGATGCTCTTCAAATACTTGTTCATTCCCATATTCGATAGGCTTTTATACAAATTGTCTATATTTGTAAGACAAGTGTCACAGCCCAATAGCCACTCGGCCCCTCCTAAGGGGAGAGCCAGCAAGCTAAATAGGAAATCCACAAAATCATCATCAACTTCAGCAAACAGTAGCTTATTATTTGATACAATGGCCTTCACAGTCATTTTACCACCAAAAGTTTCCATCTGTTTCTTGATCAGATTAACTGGTGGGACATCTATTGTGCACTTCATCGCAAGATGGTTCATCAGTTTTTTATCGAGTATAAGTTCCGTGAATGGTGCCCGGGAAGCTAATGACCCTTTCAGCAAATCCATTATCTAAAAACAATATAAATAGATAAAAAGGAAAGAATGCTTAAACGGTAGATAATTCATGAATTTGGTACACTATTATATAAAGAGATGGAAATTAGTCACTCACCTCATTGAATCCGAAAGTCAGACTCCTTTCCTCGATCCTGACTGTATCCTTTATGCCTAAGTTGCGGAAAATTTGCGCAGCAACACCAGTCTTGTTAGGCAATACTTGAAGATCATCAGTGATGATTAATGATGCTTTACTTGCAATAAACACACCGCCGCCAGTATCATCCACACTTCTCACGTAAATTATTTTAGCCAGCGGTTTCCCACAACCGCATTTCAATCCGCTGAAGCACATGCTTAGAGTCGGAAATTGACATTTTTTGTCTCCACATTCGAAGTACCTTGTGGGCGGCGTGTCGTCAATGTTGATTTTCAGCCGACGACATTCGACCTCGGACGACCTTATCGGGTTGAGGAGCAGGTTCTTACAGTCCTCTGACGAGAAAAAGCCATTGTCCAAATTGCGTAAGCCATTGTACAAAGTGGTTAAGCTTCCTACAACAGGGGCATCATCACCATAGTGTTTTTTCAAGACTCGAACAATAGTACCCAATGGCAACGTCAGGAAGCTCAACAAAACATCTGCGAAATCGCTATCGGCCTCCACATAAAGAACCTTAGTCTTTTGCTTGTTTATTATGGCTTTCAGGGTGAACTTCAAATCTTTGGGGTTAGACATGTTCGTATACAGTTTTGAAAGGGTACAAAGAAAGGAATGTTGTTGGTCTCTCATTTTTATAAGCACAAAATTAATCCAAGGGTCACTTCATTAATTTTCATTAGACCTTGACCTTCCATGTCCTTCTAATGAACCTAGACCGAATTCCTTTGTTTTGGCAATTTATGTCCCCTGGCTTTCTAATTTTCTATCCAACTTCTAGAGGTGATCTCTCTCTCTCTCATCCAAGAGTCACTTTCACTAATTTTCATTAGACATTGACCTTCCATGTCCTTCTAATGTCCTTCTAATGCACCTAGACTGAATTCTTTTGTTTTGGCCATTTATGTTCAATGGGTTTCTAGTTTTCTTTCAAACTTCTAGAGATGATAGAGCTCTCTCTCTCTCTCTCTCTCTCTCTCTCTCTCTCTCATCTGAGCATCCTATTTTCTTCTTTTATTGGGTTCTCTGTAAAGTGGTCTCTCTTCAATTCACTTAACCTATGGATGGAATGTGCGGAAGAGCCAGAAAAGTGGCCATCTAACGTGTTCGAAAAAAGGGCAAGTGTGCTAAAGTGGCATTCCCTTTCTCAAGATTCATCAGAGTTAAAACATGAAATGCAAACACCGTAAAACATGTTTAAGAAACAAGTGGTTGTACTTTGTAGAAAAGTAGGAAAAGATTGAGATTAATACACTCGTATTAACTTGAAGTGTCTGATATGAGCAAAATAGAAATTTTAACTTGACTGTGACAGTCGTATTAACCGTAGGTCAGGTCACAGTTCAGAAACATGTATGTGCGTGCACTTAACTAGTTTAATTTGACATTCCAAGGCTAATTCGATTCACATCTCCATGCATCACTATTCCATAATCCGATGTTTTGATCGATATTTCAAATAAGGACATGCCTATTTTGTATTTGTTACGCAACAAATGTAAATATAACAATATGTTCAACTGCAAGGATTATGATTCAGAACACAAATGCAATGCAAACAGAGTAACCAATAATTGCAACAACTACAAGAAGCATATGAGATTTGACAAGGCAAGTGGAGATCAGTCTACTAAATCAACAACTGGAGAAGTTACCATTAATGAATTATGCTTTGCCGTATAAATTTTCCTCACCTGTAAACAACTAGAGCAGCATGTTCTTCCAATCCCCAACTGGAAACATGAGGAAACTTTTTTCGTTCTTTCTCTTTTTATTTTTTATTTAATTTATTTATTCATTTATTTATTTTTTACTTTTTTTTTGTTTTCTTATTGGGAACTTGAGGAACTTAAAAAATACATCTGCAAATTCAGTTTTGGCAGGAAATCATTACCATGTTTTTCTGTTTGTTTAGCATGACTTAATTCCAAGGGGATATTGAAATCCATTTAACAGAAACAAGTTTTTCCTGTTTTGATGTATTTTCAAAATTTGAAACTTCTGTGAACATCTGATAGTTTTAGGTAAGATTTTCTGTGTATGCTAAATTAACACATTGGATTGGATGCACAAAGCAAGGTTCTTTTTGCATGTGCAAATTAACTTCTTGTAATTTAATTTCTTTTCTCATCATTATTGGCCAAAAATGCAGTCACGAATCGTCTCGCTAATTGCATCAGGAAATAGTAAATTCAAGAAAGAATAATTCAGGAAAAAGACGAAGAATGTGTATCATGCAGCTGCAGGAGATAACATTCATGTCCTACATGGAACCAATTCAACTTAGTTGACCGAAAATCAGATTTTGCCATAATTTCATAAACCAAACCTAACCAAACCGGACACATTTTCACTTAATTATGAGGAAATAACATAGATAACGAAGTGTAGAACTGATTAGGAACAACAATCACTAATGCAGGAACCTCTAGACATTGGCCTCAGTGTTCTTGTTTCACAAACTTTCTTAATGATGGTCCGAAAAGGCCATTGGTCAGCGCCGAATTAGAGGCAAGAGATGCCTTCAAAATGCTCAGAGCCTACAGTACAGACAAGAACAACATTCAGTATTGCTTAGAAAAAAAAAAACAACTCTTAATCATTAAAACAAATCAAATGATCGAAATGAACACGCTACATATGTTTATCATATATAGTTACCTCTTCCAATCCAATGTTAAGCTCCAATTCTTCCACATCAGACAACGGAATTCCCAGCCGGTCCAAAATAGAAAGGCTTGAGGTCACACACAATGGAGTAACGGTTAAATCATCCGTCACCATATACGTTGTTGGCACTCTTACATAATTCTCATTGCCTTTTGGAAACTTGAGACGAAGCAAATTGGACGTTCTTTGTGCCACATACGCACGATCAGTCCAAGAACGAAACGCTTTATATGTATATGTCACAGTTGAAGGAGACAAATAATCAATATTCCCAGGAAATCCAGTGTTTCCAACAAAATGAAGTTCAGGAAATCCTACTTCGGTTAGAGGGAAAAGTTGGCTTGGGGACATATATCCGACAGGTAGTTGGGTATTCAGTAATTTGGTCATTGTATCTTTAGTCTTCAAGTGATTGTCACCATTGATATTTTCTAGACTAGTGTATAAATTGTCTAAACTTGTAACACCAGTGCTGCTCCCCAGAAGCGACAAAGCTCCACCGAGTGGGATCGTGAGCAAACTAAAGAGAAAATCGGCAAAATCGCCCTTGGCTTGCGCAAAAAGAAACACTCGTGTAGACCTTTGCATTACAACTTTTAGTATCATCATCTTCTCAGAGTTAGAAGCAGCTGCTTCCTCAGTCTTTGGTATAAAAACTCCAGGTTCGATCTTCTTCTGAACTTCAGAGTTATTTTGAGTTCTTCCAAGTATGATATCGGTCAAAGGAGTCCGTGATACGAGTATGCCTTTTAGCAAATCTATAATCTAATTCAAAGGACGAATTCAACATATCAAAACACAGATAATTAATTCAGAAAGTACATTACAATAGAATCAAGACTCGCCTCATTATATCCGAACGTCACACTCCTCATCTCGGCCCCTTTGGTGTCCGTAATACCAAGTTCCACAAGAATTCTCAAGACGGACCCCACCACATAAGGCGCCACACGCATTTCATCACTGATTATAAAGGAAGCATCTTTCGTGCAAAAAGCTCGATCATCACCATCTTCAACAGTCTCAGATGATCTTAATTTTGTTTCTGTGCTCATAGTTTTCCCACAATCACATCTAACACTATCATAGTACATGCTGAAATTGTGGTTCCCACTGGACGACTGTCCGCATGTGAAGTACTTGGTGGGCTCGGAATCACAAAGATTCAGCTTCAGTTTTCGGCATTCTTTATCAAAAACGCTTCTCGGGTTTAGCAGCATTTGTTTACCTGTCACTGTATGAAAATGGACAACATCAAGATCAGCAAGGCCATTGACCATTGTACAAAGAGGTCAAGCTCCCGACTACCAGTGTGTTGTCTCCATAGTGTTCCACGACGACTTTCGCTATCTTTCCCAATGGCAGTGTCAAGAAGCTCAACAAGACATCGGTGAAATAGCTGTCGGCCTCTGCAAAGAGAACCTTAGTTTTATCTTTATTTATCATGACTTTCAATGTGAACTGAACATCCTTAGGGGCAGACATTGTTGTATCTTGATATGGGTTATAACAGATGATTGAGCTTTTGTCTAAGGGTAATGTGAGCATAAAGATTTCAATGCATGAAGGCTATTTATAAGGCTAATAAAAAAGGTAGTCCAAGAGTCAGTCCCACAAGATTCCTAAGTCTTTAAGTATTCCCTGACCTTCCATTTGCCATGGAAATTGGACTGGTTATTTCGAGTTTCAATGAATTAATTTTCTTGTAGTTTGTGTTTTTGAGTTGAAGTAACTCCATTTTAGAGTAAGGGAAATGCTCACATGCCCACAGTGGGCATGTGAGCATTTCTCAGTAGAGTAATATGGGGATCTTTTCAATCAGTTGTACAATAATTACTGATTTTAAGTAAAAGTTATCTTATTGAGGGGCAGCATCCTTTAGACAGAATGGTTATACAACCTGTATTGTCCTTATGAACTAACTGTTCAGACTTCTTACTTTGTGGTTATCTTATTGAGGGGCAGCATCCTTTAGACAGAATGGTTATACAACCTGTATTGTCCTTATGAACTAACTGTTCAGACTTCTTACTTTGTGTAGCTTGTTACATGGGCCGCGAGTTAGAGCTTAGTTTCTCTTTTGGTAAGCGATATAACCACCCCTAAAGCTTGGGAGCTCGTTCGGCTTGGGTAGGAGCACATACTAAGGAGCACATATTCTTAAAAATATAACCGAACCCTAATATCACTTCTGTTGTATTGCTCTTACGCATGCAACCGAATGAAAAAGGGCAAGTGTGCTTACATGCAGATAAGTATAATGATATGCATTGATAAGGACTATAACTCAGACCACAAAAGCATTACAAAACAGAGTATCCAATAAGTGCCACTAGAAGTATTCAGCGAACAGTACTTTGTTTCTCAATTTGTTTGTCAGAAATTTTTGGACAGAAGAAATTTTCAGAGTAATGGAAACTAAGAATATGGAAACTCAATGTCTTTGAGTTAATGATGTTGTACAAAGTTAGCATTGGGCTTCATGTTTTCCTAAAACTAACATCAAATTCCATTTCTAGTATTGGACATAAGTTATAAATAATGTAGTTTTCTTTGTTGTATACGTACAGAGCACATGAACTATACTTTTTTTTTTTTTTTTTNAACTAAGAGCAACAAGTTAATCTGTTCGTAACAGACGAACAGACTTAATCTAAATAACCTAAGAGAACACAAACAGACTTGGATCTAAAGGAAGCCTGATCTAAAGTATGTGCAAACAGAATACAGTCTAATATTCTTCCAGAACTCAGAGAAAAGGTACAGCTATCAAATCTGACATTTGAAAATGGCTTCATTCGAAAAACGTTTCACAATCTGTATTCTCTATTTAATCAGTTTCAAAATTTATCATTTCATACTATTTATCGTCGCTTAAGGTTCAAAGCCACTACCATTATCGATTGTCGTCGAAGCTCAGTTCAGTCATAGGGGTAGATAAAACTAAAATAGGTAATTTCATATACACCCTTATAAGTTAACAACAAAAGTTTCTTGAACGATGTGACATGAATCCAAAATATTCAATTACGATAAGTAAGACTTAGTCATGAAAACTATTGCACGAGCCCAGCTCGGATCTTGTATGAATCCTTATCCCTCTTGCTTCAATTGTTTCCTTAAAAATGGATTGATGAGACCATCGGTTAAGGCGCGAGACGAAGTCAGAGATGCTTTCAGTATGCTCAGAGCCTGCACCAGAAAGCAAAACGAGTTGATTATCAGTATTCATATTCATAGTCAAATGAGTCTCTTGCCAAACACGCACACTAACCTCTTCCAGACCAACAACCAGCTCGAGTTCCTTGACTTCAGATAATGGGATTTTGAGGCTGTTAAGAATTGAAAAGCCCGAGAAGGAAGACAAGGGAGTCACAGTTAAATCGTCAGTCACCATATACATAGTATTTCGTTTAACATATTTTTCCTGCCATGGAAGGTACTGACTACTAGAGTAGGCCACTTCATTTTCCGGAAACTTATAACAGTTCACCAAACAGCCACCTGATGAGTTCACCGACTGCAAAGGTGACAGACAGCCTATACCTTGATGAAAATACAAAGAAGATAAATATTTGTCATTCAGTGAGATAAAGTAGTTTCTTGAGCAGTAACAGAATGGTAACTTTGGATGGAGTAGCTGGGCTTTGGCTTTGCATTTGTCCTTCAAATACTTTTCAGCACTCTTATTCTCTACGCTTTTGTGCAAATTGTCAATGTTATTAAGACATGTGTCACAGCGCAGTAGGCACTCGACCCTTCCTAAGGGAACAACCAGCAAACTAAATAGGAAATCCACAAAACTAGCATCAACTTCAGCAAATAATAGCTTATTAGCCGATACAATGGCGTTCACAGTCATTTTATTAGCACTGCAAGTTTCAGCTAGTTGCTTGATCAGATCAACTGGCAGGAAACCTATCTCGCACTTCATCGCAACATGGTTCATCGGGTTTTTATCGAGAATAAGTTCCGTAAATGGTGCCCGAGAAACTAATGACCCCTTCAGCAAATCCATTATCTAGAATTTAAAAAAAAAAAAAAGAACTGACTCAAAATTTAGTACTATTATCTAAAGAGATAGAAATTAGTCACTCACCTCATTGAGATAGAAATTAGTCACTCACCTCATTGAATCCGAAAGTTACACTCCTTTCCTCGATCCCGACTGTATCCATAATGCCTAAGTTGCGGAGAATTTGCATAGCGGAACTCATCACGTTAGGCAATACTTGAAGATCATCAGATATGATTAATGATGCTTTACTTGCAATAAACACCCCGCCGCCACCATCATCCACACCTCTCACGTAAATTTTTTCGTCCAACGGTTGCCCACAATCGCATTTCAGTCCCCTGAAGTACATGCTTACATTTGGAGATTCACGGAATCTACAAATCATGCCTCCACATCTGAAGTACCTTGTGGGCGGCGTGTCGTCAACGTTGATTTTCAGCCGACGACATTCAACCTCGGACGACCGTATCGGGTAGAGCAGCAGGTTCTTACAGTCCTCTGACGAGAAAAGGCCATTGTCCAAATTGCGTAAGCCGCTGTACAAAGTGGTTAAGCTTCCTACAACAGGGGCCTCATCACCATAGTGTTTGTTCAAGACTCGAACGATAGTACCCAATGGCAACGTCAGGAAGCTCAACAAAACATCTGCAAAATCACCATCGGCCTCCACATAAAGAACCTTAGTCTTTTGCTTGTTTATAATGGCTTTCAAGGTGAACTTTAAATCTTTGGGGTGAGACATTCTGACTGCAGGTTTGTGTACAATTGAAAAAGGGTCAGAAAAAAGGATTGATGAATGCTGACTATAGCAATATCAAGATTATGCTGTTGCTCTCTGATTTTTGTTATAAGCACAAAAATAATCCAAAGGTCACTTTCACTAGTTCGATTCACTATCCCATATTCCAATGTTCTGATTGATATTTCAAATGTAGACACAATTATATTGCATTTGGTACGCAACTGATGTAAATATAATGCTATGTTCATCTTGACAAGGATTATGATTCAGAACACAACAACATTGCAAACAGAGTTACCGATAATTGCAACAAGAAGCATATGAGACTTGACAACAAGGCAAGTAGAGCTCCGTCTACTAAATCAACAACTGGAGAAGTTACCATTAATACAGTATGCTTTGCCGTATAAATTGTCCACAGCTGTAAACAAACTATAGCAGTGTTGGGAACTCGGTCGTCGTACGAGCGAAGCTTTTAATGAAAGAGAAAGAGAGAAAAGACAGGATGTGATCGGAGAAGAAAAGAAGGTACCTTGGGCCGGGACGAGAGGGTTTATTTCGAAATGGGAAAAGTGATGTGGCACGGGTGACCGACTAAAATGGGTTGGGCAATTGATATCTTAATTGGGCTTCGGCCGATTTAGCAATAATAGTTGCAACTATTTGTTTTATATTAAGCCCAACTTTTTAGTTTCTATTGATTGTTTATGAGAAATTTACCCCCCTTACACTTCATTTGCTAAATAATGTTAATAATACGAATCGGTAAACTTTTTATCATAATTACGAAATATTTAATTAATTAAGGTAATGGTTTATTTTTAGTAGCTTTTAAACTACCCACTACACACATTAATGATTCAATGAATATCAGGGAGAGATATTCTCCTTCCTTCCACACGCAATAGCCAAAGTAGCCATCTTCCCTAACACAAAAAGCTACTCTCTGTCTGAAAGCTTTAATGGCTGAGTGAAGAAAATTCGAAGCCAAATCCAGAAAGAATGAAGACGACCGACGAGCGGCCGGAGAAGCCAAGTAAATTCTGATTCGCTCTCTCTATCTCTTTATCTCTATTTTGAAAATTTATTAAGATTTGTAATTCCGAATTTAAATTTTTTAGTTATTTTTTATTTTTGGTTTTCGAGATTGATTATTATTGGAATTTGGTTTTTGAGATTGAATTTGGTTTTCGAGATTGATTGTTATGGTTACTGGTTGATTTGAAGGTGACTAATGGTTTTTACAATAGTGATTTTCAAATTGGAGAAGTTTATGCTAATAATTTGTTTTGAATTGTATGTAGATTGAATTTGGTTTTCGAGATTGATTGTTATGGTTATTGGTTGATTTGAAGGTGACTAATGGTTTTCACAATAGAGATTTTCAAATGGGGGAAGTTTATGAGATTGAATTGTATGTTATGTTTTATCTCTTATCTCGTTTGTGTTGGTTATATGTTGTTTATCTTATGTATAACTATACGGATAATTTACATGCATTTTACATGTTGTTTATCTTATGTATATATACAGTATATCTGAACATATTTTCAAGATCAACTTTCCACTAACTCAATTTTCTTAGATTACACAGACGATGCTGACCTGGACCATGTACATTAGATCCTGGTTGTCGAGTATCGGGCAAATCAAGGTCGAGGTTTTGTTTTGTGATCTATTATGGCTTAAGAAAATCTTGGTTCTGATGTTTGATGATGATGATGTCTGAAGGAGGAGTTTGAGTCTTTCAGTTCGGGGTTTGGGTTCGGTTTCGGGTGTAAAATGGGGATTAAATGGAGTCTTTGTGGAGGAGTTTGATGCACAGGCCAGTGGCAATAGGAGTCTCAAGAGTGAGGATTATAAGGAAAAAGTAGATAAGTTTGAAAGATCTGCTTACCAATGCCATTTTTCTTTTTTCATTTCTATTTCCTTTCCAGAATTGAAGGTTGAGATATTAAATGTAATGTTGAAAATGAGTGTAAAAATGATGCTTACTATTTGAGAGAGTATATTCTAATGTTTACTAACTGTATATTTTAAAACTTGTATGAATATGCACATGTTTATCTAATGTTTATTTTTAGTATATACATCTGTTGTTTTATAGCAAATTGACCAAAGGAGAAAAACAATAATTGGTTATTGTTGTATCTTGATAAAGTTTTTAGCTTTATCTTTGTATTGATGAAAATCACGTATGTGTTGACCCAAAATGGTGATATTCTCACGAATTTAATGTTTATATGTTGTTTATCTTTTGTAAATATATCCATTTTTAGATACTAACACAACATATTTATCTTACGTTTATTTACAGTATATCTGAATATCTGTTTGGTAAATTATTAATTCTAATATATCAGCTACCCATTCCATATTATTAATCTACTCTTCTCATTTGTCGAATATTTCATCACTCAGTTTGATATCCCAACCAACTATGATCCCGACACGGAGAGACTGAGGTACTCATACTTGCTCTATCAACATGGTTGTATGAAGCAAGAAAACTCGTGTGAGAGCTATGATGATTCTCAAGGGGTACTTGATGATGTAGAGCGTGCAAAGCTCATGTCAATTAGTTAGGATATGTCTTTTGATGGAGTTCTATTTGTCTTAATGTATGGATAATTGAACGAAGTTGTTTACTATTGACATGTTTTGTTGATTTGTTTGTTTTTTTAGTGGAAATACCATGTATGAATATTCATGCTCTTATTCTGGATTTTTGAAGTACACGAGGTTAATCTATCAAAATGCAATGTTTGAATCGTTGTGTGATCCGATTCCCTTATTTGAATCTTACGCATTCATTATATTGCGCTTTAATATTGATGTGTTTACCTATTGTTTATCACAACGTGTAGTAAACTTCTGTATTGTAAATATCCGCTCATACTATGTGTTAGTTATTATACCATGTGTTCACTTAATGTTTATTTATACACATAACCCATAAAATTTACCCAAGCATAGATTTAAAATTATCTTATATGTACAATTCAGAAACGTTTGAATTACATCCATTTTTTTAATTAAATACAATTGTACAATTATACTAAAAATAAACAACAAGTAAACGAATATAAAGGAAACGTCAACATTCTGTGCATATTATTAAAACTTAAAGTAAAACATAACACAATTTATACTACAAGCAACCACGTGGAACTAAGTTTATTTCACTCTCCTTCGACCACAACTTCTAGAGTTGTTTATCTCTTGTTTATCTTCCGTACACTTTCTTGTTTTTAGCATTGTATCTGCAGCATGTTCGACGAATACTCTGTAGAAACCATCAATTTCAGAATCATCCCGTGTCATTTCCAGAAGACATTGGCATTATTCTTCGAACGAGTGAGGTGGCATTTATTACTTGTTTTACAACCACACACAAGGACAACTTCGTATAGTCACACTCCTTCAACTTCAATGAAATATATAAATGCAAGCTACTATCGTCATCCACACTCATAGGTGGATATCCATCATTCACTTGATACTTTATATCAAGATATGGAAAGAGAGTAACTTATCATATTGATTTTAATTAAAATCTCGTAATTATGTAATTAAAATCACAATAGAATCCTATTTTAGTTAAACTTTGTAATGGACGTATATATAAAAATATACATACATAAGGGAACATGTACGTAAATTTCCCATTGTTTATTGTAGAAGGCCCAACTACAATTCATAAAGTTCTCATGTGTGACCCATGCGTTCTAGGATCTGACTGTTACTGTTACGACTTACGAGCTCGTTTGATAGCAATAGTAATTAATCGTTGTTGTTTCAAGGTCAATCTATTCACCCGTCTAGATATGTGCAACAGATTGTGGTATCTCTCGGGAGAAGAAACAGTTACATGTTCTCACTAGACGTGGCCAAAAGGCAGGCCAGTTCACGACCTGGCCTGGCCCAGTACACGGGCCAATTCAAAACCTAAGCTCGGAACCGTTTCAGAACCGCTGGTTCAACGACCCGTCGGTTTTTTCCGAGTTCCGGCGATTTCGTGGTTTTTTATTTTTATTATTATTATTTAAGTAACTTTACTTGAAAAAAAAATAAATACCTAACATTAAAGTTGAGCGAAATAAAACGGAGGTGGTACCATGGTAGAGTTGTGTACGTCAAAGAGAACCAGAAATGGTACAATTCTCTCAAGTATCGGGCACATGCTTTTCAAGCTCATGATTCATTTTCGAAATGATGAAATAGTTGTTATATCCGTTTTATATGTTAATTATTCATTTTCAACTATAAACAACTCCAGCAACTGCGAGTGAGATGTAAATAAGTAGTATAGTCTGAAAAAAAATATCTTACAATATTAAATTAGTGCTCTTTCAACTCGTATCCATTTAATTGTTATAGTTGTTATACATGATAATAGACAATGAGACACTTAATTATTTGAAGCCAAGATTGTTGATAACCCTTTCTCCACTTAATTATTATAGTTGTCAACAATCCCAGCCACAAATAATTATTTGAAGCCACTTTTTTTTGTATTTTATTAATTATATATGATATATCAAATTAATTATATTTTAACGATATTCGATTTTACATCCATATTGCATGTATAAAACACAAAACAGTTATATCTTGATAAATAAATTTTAAATAGGTTTATCAAACTAAATTAAAAATATTAAAAAAACTACAAATTATCTTATGAAGCAAATAGAAATCTATATCTATATCTATATATATTGAAAAATGTTGATGAAATAATCTAAAATAATAACTTTGACTGTGTAATTAAATAGATTGACTTACTATTAAAGCAAATATAGTAAAAATTAATTAATATTTATAAAAAAATAAAAATCAAAGTATACATACACGTTGTAAATCGTGCAATTCGGATAATAACATGAGTTTCTGTATAAATAAAGTTGTATCAATTTTTAAAATTATTTTTTGATAATTATTGCAAAAAAATATGATTCTTCATATCAATTACGAATCACTGCAATTTCTTATTCTTTTGGTAACCAACCATACAATATTTCTTAATATATATATATATATATATATATATATATATTAAATATTTCTTGTTTCAGAAAATTATTATTTAAATATGCATGCTTAAATTACAAATATAGTTACAAAATAAAAATAAAAAATCAATTATAGAGGTTTTATTATGATATTTATCAAAAGGTTACAATAAAATCTTATTACCAACATTAATAACAATCACGGTGATTTATTATTCATTTGGTAACCAATATATACTAAAATATTTTTTATTGTATATTCAAAAATCATTTAATCAATATAATTAGTTTAGAATCCTTTGATTTATCAATAACTCAACTGATTTAGTTTTTCGAAAACTGTAAAAGTAATTTTTCACATTATTAAAAGAAATTTAACCATTTATCTTTAATAACAAACCAATATTCATATTTAATAACAAATCATGAGTTCTCCTGTTTTGTTGGGAATATAACCATATGTAGACCGAAATATGATTGCGTGAGAACAATACAAAATATCAGTACAAAATAAATTTATAAATCAATTTCAAAAATCTTATTGATATAACTACTGCAATACTAAAATACAGTTGATATCGCAACATTAACAACAAACCCCTCTAATTTTCTATTGAATTGGTAACAAGTCATATACTAAAAAATACCTATTCAAGGAGTTCAAAAATACATTTGATTTTATCAATAACTGCACCATACCGTTTTAAAAAAAAATCATATGGCAATTTACAATATCATAACCAATCTCATATCAATTAATAGAATAGAAAGAAAATTTAAGAAATTTATAATATACATTTTATAAATTATGCGAAAAATAAAATAATATTGATGTAACTAAAAATTCACAAATTTTTAACTTCAAAATAATATATATAATAGTCCTTTTCAATTAAGTGATGGTTATAATATTTGCCACAACTTTTCAACTTTAGCATAACTGATATAGACCTCGAACTAATATATCATAATAAGGTATGAGTAAATGAAGACAGATAAAGAAATATGTTGTGCGTATTATTTATTGATAATATTTAAATATATTAAATTTCTAGTATCCTTAATTACAAACAGTAACTCTAAAATAGACATCTATTTTATAACGAGTTAAATAAACATATAACTTATGTGTTTAATTATTATATATCATCAAATAAAAGAAAAAACAATATAAGTATTCAATTTTTTTTATACTAATCAATATTCCTTTATTGCTTTAATACATGCAATTTATAATTATTGCCCCGTGCATCATACGAGCTACATACTAGTTGATTTATATTAAATATCATAAAATACTTATGTTAATTGAAAAAAAATGTATAAACTAAATATGATCACATAATACATATAAAAAATATTTTAAAATTTATGTCTCAACTTAAATAAAGACTACAAATAGATTGAATATTGTAACGATATGAGAAATAAAACCAAAAAAATATAATTAAAAATAGTAAAAATAATTATAATATTTCATAAAATTTAAAAATATTACAACCATAAACATTTTTTTTAGATTGCTGAATATTATAAAGTTGAAGATGTTTAAAAATATAATAGATGAGGGAAGAAAATTGTGTACATAAAATATTAATAAAACTTGAAAAAAATTAAATAATTCAAAATAAAATAATTGAGTTGTAATATATATATATATATATNNNAAAAAATATCATTTTAACAAATCGAGTGTAAAATATAGGTATTATTTTAAATAATTAAATTTGTTAAGTTTTTAATCATTAGTTTTACACTTATGCTTTTATTATTATAATATAAGAATATAAGTTTCTTTACTTATTTCTTTTAATACAAATATTTTATTTTTATTTTAATGCATCATGGTTGTTTAAGAGCGTTATATTGACTACAGAAAAAATTAATTATTCTATTTAATTAAAAAAAATGAATATATATCAAATAAAATAAATAATATTTCAAACAAATATTTTCTATAATGTAAATAATTTAAAAATTTGTATTCTATTTATTAATTATTTATAAATTTTACTTCACAATAAAAAATTTATTACGTTTTTCAATATTTATTGCACAATTAATTTTTTTTTCAAACACTCGTGTAGTTCACGAAAGTTGTACAGGTAAATAAATAATTGCTAATAGATACTTGTATAATATATATACATGTGTTGTTGCAATACTATTTAGAAAAAGTGATGAAAATCAGAACTCTTTTAAACAAAGAAATAATTATGAAAATGGGATTGCTATGATCCAGTCCAATTTATTTGTGCAATATTACGTACCTAGCCTTTTTATATCACTTGTTGTTATTAGATAAACATAATAATTGAATAATTACTGTTTTTCAAAATATATGCATAGTATCATATTATAAAAATCATCATAGATAAAAAATAATATATCTTTTAGGAATTGGCAAGAGTCCAAAGCAAGCTTTTGGGACCTTTATAAAAGCCAACAGTAGAAAAACCATTCCCGCCGCGAAATTTCTCACTCGCCTCCATCAACACACATTACTCGCACCCGCTTTTATGGTCACCTCCTTTGTCACTTGCCTCTCCATTCACACTGAGAAAACAAGCCAATACACACCCGCAACAGCCAGGATTGCTGGGGTTTCATCCAAACAAAGCTCTAAATTCTTGAAACCCTAAAGGGTTTCTGTGTATTTCCCTCTGCCCTTTGCCCGGCTTTTGAATCGAACGATGGAGCTCCGTCCTCGTACCCCAGGTTCTGCCTCTTCGAAAGGTGTGTTCTTTTTGCCTTTTACTCGTTTCGTTGAGGGCATGTGTGTGTGTATGTGTGTTTATGCGTGGATTATGGTATATCGAACTGGGTTTTCGTCTTTATTGTTCTTTTTAACTGTGATGGGCTTTAAATGTGTGATCGAGTAGGTAAAGAGAAGATCCAGTACCCGGAGAGTTCTGATGAGGATGATCTTGGGGCAATGTTGTCTGATTCCGATTATAATGCGGCGAGTGATGAAGGTAATGCCCGTGCATGTGTGTGCAGTTTTGATTCGGTTGCTGTGCGAGGATTCATTGTGATCTTGAGTCTTGGTATTTGAAATTTTGGGAATGGATTCTTGTAGTTTGTTTGTTGTGGATGTCAGATTATGTCTGCAAAGTGGTTTTTGTTGTGCTATCATGTTTACTTACTGTAAAACGTTGATTAATTAATGACATTGTGACCCTGTGATCCTATTGTTCTGAACTGTTTTCTGTTAAAAAATTGACAAATTGTCATCTTTTGCCGCCGTATCTACGAAAGTACCACTTTTGTTTGTTACCACCAAAAAAACGACCGAATCCGATGCTTAGTATGACCACAAGTGGGTGATGTTGTGTTATTATGTTTACTTACTGTAAAACTTTGATATTAATAACATTGGGACCATTTAAACCTATTATTTGAATAGTTTTCAGTTGAAATTTTGCCAAGATGTCATCTTTTGCCTTTGTGTTAGATTTCAGTCTAAACTAATAGTTCTGTTTGTTATAAAAAAAGAAGACCGAAATTAACCACCAAAAGTGGGTGATGTTGTGTTACTATGTTTACGTACTGTGAAATTTCGATAGTTTAATGACATTATGGCCATGTGAAACTATTAGTTTGAAAAGTTTTCTTCATTTGAGAACTACCCAAAATTTGTTTGTCACTGTTTGTCACCGCATTAGCAAAAATACCACTTTTGTCTATTTCCTTCAAATAACGACCAATTATTTTGAAGAGTTTTCAATTGAGAGTTACCAAAATTTCATCTTTTGTCGTCGCTTTTGCAAAATATACCACCTTTGTGTATTTCCTTCAAATAACGGCCAATTATCGTGAAGGGTTTTCAATTGAGGAACTACCAAAATTTCACCTTTTGTCGTTGCGTTTATGGAAATACCACTCATGTCTATTAACACCAAAACAACGACTGAAAACGACTCTTAATGTGACCAATAGTGGCACTTTAGCAATGAGAGTGAATAGGTATAATTTTTGCACATGTATCTTTTGTATTTGTCATGTGTTAATTTTCTCATTCAGACAATGTTTATTCTTGGTGAGGGCTTATTGCTGAAGGAAGGCACCCAAAATTTTAGTGAAGTTGTGAAAGCATATAAATGGAGACAGGGAAATGAAAGAGAATATTATAGATAAAAGTTTGGGTACAAAATAATAAGGCTATTTTCTTTATATATATTTCCAATGTTTGTTCCTATTTTTTCTTTGCCAGTTGGATCAATAGTAACCGTTTGCTTAACTTTACTGAGTTTGAGAACGGAATTATCTTGTGTTAGTTGAATATTTGGTGAATGTCCCCTAAATAGTGTGAGTTTCAGATATGGATTTGTAAATTGTTAGTGCATTATATGAACAATTGAGGATTACATTTGATCCTTTTTTTTTTTGGATGGGAAGGTCACTGTTCATCTTGTGAATCTAGGTGAAGGTTTTCCTAATGTGCTTGAAGACCCTAGTGGGGAAGAGGCTCTGGACTTAAATTTTCCTTTAGATACTGCATCTGAAACTAGCGATGATGAACTTCAGTATGTCTCAAAGAAGAGAAAAAGGAACACCTCTAAGTACAGGGAAGGATCGAGTGAGAATGTTATAGTCTACCAAGACATACCGATGGATGACAATATTGAAGCAGAATTGTTCCAAGAATTTCTAGGATTTGATTTGGGTGGGGCAACAGAGAAAACTCGTGGGAAAAGGAAGAACAAGAAGAAGAAAAACGATAAACCCATATTAATGTGGGAAGTTTTAGAAGAGGAGATTGAAAGATGGGTTGCTGAGAATCTGATGCTGGACATGGACTTGACGAATCAGAATGAAATGGTGACAGAAACTGCCGAGCCTTCGGAGGACTTGATAATACCACTGCTCAGATACCAAAAGGAGTGGTTAGCTTGGGCTCTTAAGCAAGAGGAATCTGTTGTTAAGGGAGGTATTCTTGCGGATGAGATGGGAATGGGCAAAACCCTTCAGGCAATAGCTCTTGTTCTTCTCAAACGAAATATCTCAAGGGAACTCGGTGGGCAGCATTTACACACAACCACCCCGAGTTCTTCAAAAGGGCTACCGGCTATTAAAGGCACACTTGTCGTGTGCCCATTGGTTGCTGTCATGCAGTGGGTTAGCGAGATAGATAAATTCACTTCGAAAGGAAGCACCAAGGTTCTTGTCTACCACGGTGCTAACCGGGCGAAAAAGCATTACGAGTTTGCTGACTATGACTTTGTCATAACAACATATTCGATTGTCGAGGCAGAATACAGGAAATATGTGATGCCTCCCAAGGAGAAATGCACTTACTGTGGGAAATTATTCTATGAGAATAAGTTGAAAATTCACTTGAAGTATATGTGTGGGCCTTTTGCTATTAAGACAGCGAAGCAGGCAAAACAAGAGAGAAAAAATCCAGAGACTAAAAAAATGGCAGAGTCTGAGGGAAGTAAGAAGAAAGGAGGTCGTGGTAAAGGAAAGAAGCATGTCGGTGTAGAGAAGGAAATGGAGAATGACTATCCGGAAGAGGTTTCACATGCCGGAAAGTCGATTTTGCACTCCGTGAGCTGGGAGCGTATCATTTTGGATGAGGTAAGGATTATGTCATTTGACTTTTCTTTATGCATCATTTTGGAGGAATCATTTTCTGTGTAAGTCCATTTTCTTTGAGATTGTTAACACTTTCCTTATGTTATGCTCTTTTGGTTGGTTTTAGATATTGCTCCCTGATTTTGCAATATGTATTATTTCTTCCATTTCTGGAGAGAGGATTCTTTACTTAATTTATTATTCATCGTGTCTTTAATGTTTGCATGTTTTATATAACAAAAATCTGATAGTGTTTTTCGCAACATCTGGTTATAGAAAGAAATTAATTCGTTTATACATCTTTCTTTATCCTTCTGGCATATGATATATTTGATTCCTTTTGGGGTCATTTTTTCTCACACAGGCACATTATATTAAAGACAGGCGCTGCAACACAACTAGAGCTATTCTTAACTTACAATCTTCTTATAAATGGGCTCTAAGTGGTACTCCCCTTCAGAATCGTGTGGGAGAGCTCTATTCTCTTGTAAGTTTTTGAAGAGGCTTATCGTGCCCTGTGGTTTCTGGTTCAGCCTAACGAAAAGGTATCTTTACTTTGCGCGCAGGTTCGCTTTCTGCAGATAGTTCCTTACTCTTATTACTTCTGCAAGGACTGTGATTGTCGCCAACTTGACTATAGGTAAGCTTGAGCACTTACATTTTGTACCTGTCCTTCTGCTTAACTCCACTTCCTTTGTCATTTTCATCCCTCTTCATGCCTGAAGGTGAAAGGTGTTGGTTAAAAGGAAATTTAAGAAATAAGAAATGGCACATATAAAATCTGATGATTTGGTGTCTTT